TTGAATGAATTGCTAAGTCTACAGCTGAGAAAGTTAGTTCACTGCATAGTACTAGACAATTATTTTCGCCAGAATCTCTCTTACATATTTATTAGTCTACCATTCATCCTTGCTTTGAATATTGCTGCTACATCTGATATGGTACACCTGCTATATACTTAGAGATTTTTGATAAAATCCAAAGAAAAATCTACAATGTTATTGACCCTGACTTGGCATCTTGGCTTCAGTCCTTTTCCTACTGCCACAACATAGCTTCCCCATGCCTTTCTAGAAATACTTTCAGGGTAATAGTTCTGATAAGCTTTTCTCAATGATACCTAAATTTTACGAATTTAAGCACAATACTAGATTAGCAGCAACGTCTCTTCAATTGACAGTGGAAACGGTTAGAGGTAAAGGCGATTTCTATGCTAACAGTTTCTTTTATCACACTTTTCACTTGTGGAACTTTATTCTGGCTTCTTGCTTCCCAGTCAACTTTGATCTTTAAAAATTTAAATGCAATGTCAATTGTTATCTTCTGTTTACTTAATTTTTGTTCTTTTATTGTTCTCTCTCCTTAATAGTAGTTTTTCTCATATTCTTTAACACTTAGTAACATCTTGCATCCTAGTGGCTTTATTGCCTTGCTTGGGGTAAAATGATTTTAAAAATATCTAGTTTTTATTCTTACACTGTAGACAAAAGATTTTACAGTTTTTCTCTGTTTTACTAAAAAGGAATTCTCCCTTTTGTCATAAAATATATTTCATATTTCCCAACCAATGCAATCTTTACCTCTTCACATCTAGAATTGATCATTATCTATCCTATTAGATCATTGCAAAATTTTGTGTTCAATTAGAAAATTAAAAACAAAATTCACATACTCATAAAAAAAACATTTATGAGTCAAGTAGACAATCTCGATTGTTTTTAACAACTGTCTCCCATCGTTCTACAAATTTGTTGATACTATTTTCATAGAAACTTTGTGTTCTTTGTTGGAAGAATGTTGTGAGATAGTTTTCAATTGACTGTACAGAGTCATTTTTTGTCATTTAAATTGTTCTGTAGAGAAAGGAGCAGATGAAAATCTGAAGGAGCCAAGTCAGGAGATTACGGTGAATGCTGGAGGGTGGGATTCCATTTCAATTCTTTAACCTTCTTCAACATTTTGCATTGTTGTGGTGGAAAATGAATGATCATTTTCAATTTGCCAAAATCAACCATTTTTATTGAACCCAAGTCTCTTAGAATAGCAAAAGGCAGTTGAGATATCGATTTTTAAGCTCTTAGCAATCTCTTCTGTCAAAATCTTTGCTTTCTTCTCCATGATGGCAAGCACAGCAATGGAAAGTTGCCCAGAACATGGTTGATAATTTAAGTTAAAATGACCCTGACAAAATCACTTTGTGACCATCCAAAGAGCTGGAGCACAATCCATATAAACCTTCTGAATGTTTTTTGTTGCAGTTCTGATGAGGGTCGGCTAAAATGTTCAATAATTGAAGGAGTAGAAATTAATGTATGCAAGATTTTACAGCACATCATTTCTTCATAATCAGCCTATGAACTTTTCAGCCTACCCTCATACCTGGAGAGAAACAATGCAGTTAATAATAAGAAGTGTTGAAATTAATGCATGCAAGATTTCACAGCTCTATCATCACTCCTTCATAGTCAGCCTGTGAACTTTTCAGCCCATCCTCATAAGCAACTAAAACTGAAAGAATCTATTTATCTGCTAATAATGATTCCTGAAACTTGAAAGTTTAACATTTTCCTGTGGATAATGCTTTCTTTTTCAATCCTTTTCATCAAAATCAAAACTATAGCACAAATTCTTTTCCAATTAAAAGAAAAAAAGAATTTTCAAATTCTTATTTGGTCTCCAGAATGCTTATATTCTCGGTTATGTAAATCTTGTTATCTTTTATCACTGGTTTGTCAGATATAATAATGTCTACCTCCTTATTTCCAAGTACACCCATCTGCTAGAAGGGTAGCTAGCAAGTCCCTATTACAAACACCTTCTCAGGCACATCTGTGTTTATTCAACACTCATATAGCCCACCTTTTTGGTTTATACTGCTGAGCAGGCCTTTTTTACAGATTAGAGTGTGTGGCAGCTGGCATGATCAACTGTTTGAACAAGGCCAGTATGCTCAAATCTTGTCATTATTACTTATGACTCCATACTGGCACAACCATTAATGACTTCTAACCTTTATCACTCTGCATAATTAATATTACTTCTCTTTCTACTGCATTCTTTTTCAAGGCCTCTCAATTACAGCATCCTTATTGTTAATTTCATTCAGAGTTGTTTTCTGTTGCCATAGCAAGAGGTAATAACACAGCTACGAAATTCAAACTCACTATTGTTCAGAGATCAGAGTTACCTTCAGTGGCAGGATAAACCTTTTTGTACAGCAAATGAAGTCACATACAAAGTGATAAAGGTTAATGTCTGTGTACTCATCTCCACTCACAAGGCTTTGGTCAATCTGTGGTGTGGTCTTCAGGCTGGGGTCCTCCCCACATACTGATATCATAAAAAAAAAATCACCTTCCCGAGATTTGAACCAGAGTTATGATTAGAAAGCAAATTTTCTAACCAGTTAGCCACACACCCGTATCTGCCACATATACATACATATAAAAGAAATATCATCACACACACACATTTTATTTTTCTTGACATGACTTTTATTTATTTTATTTCTGTATATCAAATCTCCATATTTACATTATATTTTAACCTATTTACTATATACAAATTTCATTGATTTATTTACAGATATTTATTTTTAAATGTTCTTGTTAAAATTTTTCAAATTAACCACAATATTTTTAAGTTGCAATGTTGCCATGGTAAGAAATTTATGCTTAGATTTCTTTTTCAGTTGTTTTGAGAATTCATGTAATGAGAGAAATGTTGAAAAAAATTTTTTAAAAGTTAAACATCCAATTGGTTCTGCGCATTCCATCTTATATACAGAGTGCGATGGGTAAATTGTCGCCATTTTATATTTTTAATTTCACACATGCGTGTCGTTTGCTTTTTAATTTTGTCAACTGCACAGTATAGTAGGCTCAGTTAGGCACCATCTGTGAGAAAAAGAGAAGCATGTCACAATTCACTCCACCAGAAATTTCGAATAGGCATGCTGTACTACTTGGCATTCTCACCAGAAGCTCCAATACAAACATTTCAGAGTGTTTGGGTGCCAATCTGAGAACAGTGCAGAGGATTCAGAAAGAGCTGGATGAGTCTAATGATGATTACGAAGGTGTTTGGAGTGATCACTAATGATGGCGACTTTATGCCTCCATTCATCTTCCCAAAGAGCCTCAGACTCAACATGGAGGTCTACATCTAATGCCTTGAGGAGGTAGTGCTGCCCTGAGTGAAGAGGCTGGTTGCTGGAAGACCATATGTCTGGCAACAGGATTCTGTACCATGCCACACAAGCATCAGAATCTAGTCATGGTTGTCAGACAATTTCTGCAACCACATCACCCCTTATATCTGGCCACCTAACCCCCCCAGTCTGCAACACCCTTAGTTATTACGTGTGGGGTGAAGTTGACTGTAAGACCAACAAAACTTCTTGTAGCATCAAAGATTAACTGAAGCCAAGGATTATGGCAGCACTCACCAACTTAAACAAAGAGACTGTCCAGAAGAGTTGCAGAAGATTCTGAAGTCATCTAGATGCCATGGTTAAAGCCAATGACAATTTTATTGAATAAATTTACTCTTTAGTATTCCAAGATGTATCTGTGTAATTTTGGTAAATATATCAAATATATCTGTTAAAATGAGATGTCTGTGTTATTTTCAATTTTGTGTAATTTACACGACAATTTATCCATCGCAAAATTAAATATATATATATATATATATATATATATATATATATATATAATACAGCAAAAATTCAAAAATTCCTCATGTGGAAATAGTCTATTTCAAACTAGTACTACCATATGCCAGCTATTCTTAGCCCAAGACTCAAAACTAAGTACAATAAATACGTTGACCTCTCTGTGGATTAGTTTTAATATGTGATATTACTAGGATTCACCTGGATTACATAACAATGAATCTATTACCTGTACTATATATATATATATATATATATATATATATATATATATATATAGTACAGGTAATAGATTCATAAATATATAGGCAGCATATCTTCATTCAAACATGTTCCATTAAATAATATAGACATAATACATCTATTTATTTTTATAATAATCCTTTCTAGTTCTCTAATTATCTTCTTGGTGTTAAGTTGAAATTCATCAAGGAAGGCATCATTGTTCTTGTTAACCCAAGTACATTCAATCTCTTCTGAGATCATCCTCAGGGGTGAATTGAGAAGACAAACTTAATGTAATTGTAATCGTTGTGGTGGTGATTTTTGTAAGCATGCTATCTTGTAAACACACTCAAAAATTAATCATGGTTATGATGTTTTGTAAACAAGCATTCCCAATGCAAGATGGGTAACCACAGATGGTAAATCAGAGGAGATCGAAAGTACTTGGGTTAACAAGAACTACGATGCCTTCCTTGATGACTTTCAACTTAACATCAAGAAGATAGAGAACTAAAATGGATTATTGTAAAAATAAGTAGACATAATATATCCATATTATTTAATGAGACATGCCTGAAAATTTTTGACTATTTATCCATTGCAGCCTGTGCTTTTTTCAGATATTTCATGGTAATGACTTGTCACACACAAATATTTAAAATTTTCATAAGGAAAAAAATTATGCACACAGATATATAATAATTAATTCACACGTATTTAAAAATCAGTTGTATTGACAAAATTAACCTGATCAAATTTATGTCAAATTTTATTGCACCTTCTTAAAATATGTACACTGTTTTATTTTCAATTCTAAATTAGATACTATCTAATATAGAATAATATAATTTATTGATGGTTCCACAATTCTCAATTGATTTTCTTTTTCTCTGATTTCAGAGGATGTTTCTAGACTAAACAGCCAACTCGGAGAGATACAAGATAAGTTAATGTCCTGTGAACAGAAAGAAAAAGTGTCTACCTTTAAATACAAAACATCAATCTCAGAGAAGGTTTGTCTTCTTAACTCTTCTTAAAAAATATATCTGCTTTTTACTTTATTTACATTCTGACTAACATCTTTGTTGTTGTTATTATTACAACATTTCGGCCATTTCACTCTCCATCCTTCTTCAGGTGTCTGACAATCCAGCTAACATTTAAGGAACATTTCAAACTGAACTCTTTATTTAGTTCACACAGGTAGATTGTTCTAATTCTATATGCCTTTGTATATCTCAGTTTCATTAACTCTAATTTTGATCCACTGAACGAATTGTTTGTGGGGACAACATGAAAACATGGCCCACTGGATAAAAGCATTGGTTGAAGTAATCCAAAAAGTGACTTGATCCAAAGAGTTGTGAGTTCAATACCTGGCCACAGCAGAGGGAATAAAAACTTTGAGCGTTCAGTTACTAAAAGGGAATTAACTGAAACTGAGATATCCAAAAAAGGCATGGCATGTGGAACTAGAACAATCCAGCCCAGCGAACTAAATAAAGGGTTCGGTTCAAAATTCCAAAATACATCGCCTGAAGAAGGCTGGAACATACAATAGCCAAAATCTTGTGAATATGGCAATAAAGATGAGGACAACAGTCTGAACAATGTAAATAGTATAGAGAATTAATATATTGTTAGATTTTTCTTGATACAGAAAATATTTTTCTTCTGTTTACCAAATTGGAGAGAAAAACATTTCTACTCATGTTGGAAGTATTGTTAAATTTTCATATTTGCATCTGTTTAATTTGACACATGACAATTTTTAAATAATCAAGTTCCCTTAGTTTTTTACAAACAATATTACTTGTTATTTATATATATTTGTTTCAGCTGTTGTGCCCTATGGCCTTCTTCAGGTGTATATTGATCTGGGTAACCTACAGGAAAATCTGAACTGAAACACTTTATTTAATCTACAAGGGTAGACTGTTCTTGTTCCAATGCTCATCTAGGGATATCATCTAGTTCTTATTTTATTTAGTACCATTCAATTATTGCTCGCCTGTTTCCACTGAGTGAAAGTATGCACTGGCCAACCAAGGAATTATCCTTACTAAATTCACAAACCAATTATTTTATCCACTAGGCCATTGTCCCATAGGAGAATTTGCTGTAGTAAACTTACAACCTTAAACCTAACCTGGATGCTGATTAGATTGCAAATGCTACTGCTAGCTGCCATGTTTTGATTGCTGCTGCCAAAGACTTGCTGTCATTTCTCTTTATTACTTTATTAGTGGCTCCCATATTGTATTTATTTCTATGCTAGACTTACTAAGGAGGTCCTTGTAGCCTAGAATATGCAGTGATTCTTTTCAGAGTTCTAACTCTGCAGTGTTCTTCATTCTCCAGTGTTCAATATATACTGGAGGAAGGCCGGAGGGCAAAATGGCTGAAATGTTGTGACAACAACCACAAAAATGAGTATATAATAGTATGAATATAAATAGTGTAAATAATGATAACTCCTCAGTCCTTGATATGGCAATAAACTACAGCAGCAGCAGCAGCAGCAGCAAGCAACACCTCTTATCAGGAGATTAGAGGTTTTGAAAAGCATGGGATCACCTCTTAATTGCAGTTGTTCCCAGGCCCATCAAAATAGCTATGATCAAATAGTGACCCACCCACCCCCCACTAAAAAAAATAAGACCATATAAAAATATAAAAATACATTTTTATAGTAAAAATACCAACAATACCTATTTTATAGTAGAATTACAAACGATACGTTTTATCTGTGGTTGAAATCATAAAATTCTGTTAAAAATATTTAGATTATAGCATTTAATAACCCATAGGGGTTGATATTCCACTAAAAAAAAAACAACCAACCAATTCAAGACTGCCTGAAAACATTTTCAAAAACATCTCAGAATATTTACATTGAACATTGTCATATCTAACTCATTTTTTGTCAGCTCTCTGACCTGGCATCTTGGCTTCAGTCACATTCCCACCACCAGAACGTATCTTTCGTCTGCCTTTACTATAAATATTTTCATGGTAATAGTTCTGGTGTGCTTTTCACTTTGGTACCTTGACTTTAAGCACAATCCCAGATTGGCAGCTAGGTCTCATTATTTTCCAGTTGAAATGGCTAGATGCAACCGTAAGTTCTATGCCAACAGTTTCTTCTTTCACACTTCCTGCCTATGGAACTCTCTCCCAGCCTTTTACCTTCAAAAATTTAATTGTGATGTCAATCGTTATCTTTTGTCTTAATTCCGGTTCTTTTTATTGTATTCTCTCCTTAATAATGTTTTTTTTTCTCCTATTCTTTCTCGCTCTATAACCTTCTTGCATCTTAGTTGCTTTATTGCCTTCTTGGAGTGAAATGATTAAAAAAAACGAGGAAAGAAATGTTTTTAAAGAAGAGTTAGTTTGATGCTTTCATCATTACAATTGGTTCCCCAAAACAGAAATTACTTCTGACTCAGAGCCTAGAAATTCATAAAATATATTAAAATCAGTGATGGTATTCAGAAGTTAACAACAGTTTGTGCAGATTGACCATTTATTAAAATAATGGAAGTTCACAGAACTGATTCTTAAATTCTCTTTTGCCTTCAAAACTATTGACAAAAAAATTTGCAATGTAAAAGAAGAGAGTCCATTACTAAAAGAAATTGAATCCTACCACTGTTAAAATGACACAATTTAAAAAGAAAATTAAGCAGAATGCTGGTGGAATTGGTACCCCCAAAAGCTTCTATATACTTTCATTAATTACTTATAATCAAAATACATTTTCATTTGTTTATTTATTATGTTCCAATATACTGTCATAGCAGATATGTCTTCAAACTTGTGGATTAAAAGCATCATTTCATAATTTTACTAAATTTCAAAATATTGCCTGGTAACAGATATAAAATATTTTTTTTTTGTAATACTATTACCAGTGAGTTTTAGCAATTTTTTTTTTTTTTGTACCAATTTTGATTAATGTATAAAATTAAAATGTGTAATGCTTTTTTATTATTGTGTTCTATAAGTTGCTTTTATAAAGTATTAAGAAAATACATACAGATTTTATGAACAACAATAAAAAAAATGCTGTAAGTGTAATAAATGTTAAATTGCAAAGTTTTATTTTACATCACTTTGGAAGAAGGAAATGGTTGTCTTACAAAACGATTAATTTTTTTTATTTCAAATCAGAATTTTTACATCACATTTTTCATTGATATCAACACTTTCAATAATTACAATTAATTTGTTTTTCATTGTTTATCAAGATTTATTAAAATTGCATATGAATTAAATATGTGTGTATGACATGAAGTTGCTCCAATTGGGTTAATAGATCCTAGTTGTGTGTGGACTGTACTTTAAGAAACTGCTAATTCCAACAAATCAGTTTTAGTTTAAAGGGAGGTGACTCTATTTGCTTCACGGATTCTTCGGGCCAAGGGAGGTAACACATTCTTTTTTTTTTTTCCCACCTCAGTAATTTTTCTTATTTTTCTCTTCTTTTTCACTTTTTTCATTTTATATTTTTTTCATTATTTATTCGATTCTTAAACAATTGTTCGTTTTTCCTCAGATTTCCCTATTTTGTATTCGTCTATTTCACAGTTTTTCTCATTTTTTTTTTATTTCTCATCTCTCCTTTATTTCACTTTTCTCTTTCTCATTTTCTATATTTGAATTGTTTCCTCTTGCTTTTATTTAATTTTCTTTTCTTTTTCCTCTTATATTTTTTCTTTTTGCCTGATTTGTCACATATTTTTCCATCGATTTAATTTGGCATATATCTTTCCACTCCTTTCACAATTCTCATTTATCTATGTGTTTTTTCTCTACATCTCATGTTCTCATTCCCTTTTACTCTCTCTGTCTATCTCTCTTTTCATTTTTTTCTTTCTTTCTTTTTTATTTCATTTTTCTTTTTTTTCTTGAAGAGTAGTTAGGCTGGATAACTGATTAAAATGTCAAATAGAAAAGAAGATGGAAAAAAAGAGAATAAGATGTAATGGAAGAAATAACAAAATAAAGGAAAGAGGTGAATAAAATGGCAGATTAGAGAAGATTGAAAAAGAGGAAGTTTTTAAACTAAGAAACCCAGCTAAACAATATGTCCATTTAAAACTTTAAACATAGTGACTTCTGCATTGTTCCTAATACCTGTTTGCTCTCAACATTTCACCGGAAAATGTTGAGTTCTTATGTCATGCAAATACTAAATATCAAAAGAAAGCTTATCATTTAACCTAAAACTTTTTACAACATTCTTAAATAATTTGATATTTTGTTCTTTATTAATGTACCTGTTTTGTTTTGTTATTCTAGCCATTAATATTAATGGATCTGTTATAAGAAATACTTTATTATTGTCCACCTCTTTTTTCCATCATTTTTAGAGTTTAGGCCTGAAAAATTATCTCAAATTTAACTAAGTTCCATAAGAATTTATTGCTATTACTTTTCTTATCTATTTTACAGTATTTGAGAAATTTCACATCAAATTTGCTGTTTTACTTTTGCTCTGAAATTAAAGGCAAAACAAGTTAAAACTTTTCACTTAAAAATCATGTTTATTCTCAAACTCTTAAACTCTAAGCAAATATGGTTCCTTAGTTTAATTTTCTTACATAACAATATATAATTTTTTTTATATTTCAAGAACAATTTTAAGGAAAATAAGTATGACAAAGTGGGAAAATGTTTCATGTGACATGCTTTGTCTTTTGTGATTTAATTGGACTAAGTTTACATTTACATTGATGCGACTACACTTGCATGATCAAGAGACACTGGGAATTTTAAATTTAAGAATATTTTTTTCATGTGTTTTGTGGATATAATCTTATGATTTCATTTAAATTCTTTTCCTTTCTATTTATGTTTTCATCAGTTTTGTTATTTTCCTACATTGTGATAAAAGAAAACCTGCCAAGAATTGTAAATATTGTAAAAACCTGGACACAAATTTAGTGTGGATCATCTAGTGATTAAAGCACTTCCTAAACATTTTTGTATTAGTACATTGCTTTCACTT